ATAAAAACGGCGGCTAAAATTTTTGAAGGACAAAACCATGCGAGACTAACAGCGTTTTGAACGACCCTCGTACGGCAGCAGACTCGTGCTCCGGAAAGCAGCTGAAAATGAAGTCATAACTATTGAAAACTGACAAGAAGCTCACAGACAGAGGTTAACCAGTTCAAAAATTGCAGGTCATTGTAAAATAAAGACAAAGTATCATTTGAAATTGTTTATAATATCTATAACGCTAAATTTTGGGGACAAATAACACGAAAATCGTCAATGCCAAGGACAACTGACCCTCCAAAAGTGTCAATTAATGTAAATTTTTATCCTACGAAGTTTCAAGAGGCAGATCTGGAGCGAATAGCTTTCTTTTAGACACAAAATCCCGACAAAACCGCACGATGGACAGGTTTTGGCCGTTTACAAAGCAGAACCTCTTCTGAGGAAAACACTCCGCAACTCAGCGAAGGTCTTGTCATGGGGAATTATGAGCGTTTGGGATTTGCAAAATTTGCACAACGTGTCTAAGAAACAGATGGCCGACACATTCTTCTACGATATGCTGCGAAAAGTTCGCCTCTGGCACTTCCCATTTGTGAAGGGGGTTGTTTTGAAAAGGAAAATGGTGCTTGTGAGGTCGGTGCCAGTCATTCATGAAGGAGTTAGCGCCAGAGAAGACCTACAAAATACTCACGGATGGTGTCGATGCAAGCTGTCGGCTTTCAGGGAGAAGCGGATGTTGCCGGGGAGCTCGTCAAACCTAAATCTGACGCAGAAACTGGAGGGGAATCCCCTACAAGAGCTTGAAAGCTGGTAACCTTTTATCAGCCTCCGGCAGCTGACGGAGCGACGAAAATCGGTATGGACAATTTTTTTTTTGGAGATACTGTTCGGAACACGCATTCACCGGCAAACACCTCGGTTCACTTAATCGATATATTTACAATGATCGTAAGAACACGTCAACTCGATCCGCAGTCACCCCCGATTGTCCTATCGGACCTCTAGTTAGCTTTCCCTCCTCGCCGCCGCTCCGGAGTTCCAACCGCCGAGCGCACCGCTCAGCGTCCCCCCGCCGCCGGCGGCGCGCCGCCTTATATAGGCCCACGATCCGGGCCGGAGCCCGGCAGCCAATCAGCGGCCGCCGCAGCCGCCGCGTCATCGCCGCGCGGCAGAGCTGCAGGTTTTGCGGCCGGCGCCCGCCGCCGGCCGCCGGGCGGCCGGGCGGCCGTGCGTTGCTCCCCAACACACACCCCCCCCTACACACAGGAGAGGAGCACGGCCGCTCACTCGGCCGCCCCGACGACGACCCCCAAGCACCGGGCCAACACCACTGGAGACGACCACGGGCTCATACTTGGTTCGATGATCCCGTCGCGAAGCATCTGTTCCTTCTGGCGCTCGATCTGTGCACGGACCGACACCGGGATTCGGCGAGGCGGCTGCCTGATCGGCCGAGCATCGCCTGTGTCGATCTGGTGTTCGACGAGGTGCGTGTGTCCGATGTCGCCGTCGTGACGGCTGAAGATGTCTTTGTACTCGGTGAGCAGCTTCTGTAGTCGCGTCTTGCCGGACGGGGAGAGGTCACACTCGCTGAGGTCTACATCGGGGTGCTCTCCCGCACTCCCACACTCGTCCGTGTCCGGCTCCCCATCCTCCGCGACCGCGTTGACCCGGGCCTCTTGTCCCTCACACAGCTCGAACTCCCCATCAGGGACAGGGGAGAACGCGAAGAACGTGCCCACGTCACTGCCCCTCAGCAGTGTTGCCTCTTCGAAGCCTGGATTGGTGAGTTGGACGGGCACACAGCCACCTGCTGCGATCCTCACGACCTCACGCGGCATCAGCAGGTCCTCTCTCGTTAAGGTGCCGCTGGGTTCGATGACGCCCTCGCCTTCCAACAGTGGCACCGGCCGCCCCGTTAGGCTCAACAGACGGGCGGAGACGCACATTGCTGACCTGGGAGGAACTACCACCGTCTGCGTGAGCATGACCCGTGCGCGCTGCGGCCTCACTTCTGTGTAGTACGGTAGGGGGAGCGTCAAGCTTCCGAGCCTGATGACTCCGTTCTCGTCGTCGATAACTGTTTTCTCGCGGCAGCAGAAGTCTCTTCCGAGCACCATATCATACAGCAGGCCCCCAACAATCTCCACTTCCGGGCAGACGACTATCTTATCTCGTATCTCGAGCCCCAAATTACGCACCACTCCCAGCATCTGCAGCTCGTTACCTCCGGCCCCCTTTGCGAGCCGGGTGCTTGGTGAGGACTGGAGGTGCAAACTTCCCCTGATCGTGTCCCAGAAATCCCCCCTCATCATGGAAAAGTCGGCCCCGGTATCCACCAGAGCCCAAGCCTGGTGACCCGCGACCCGCACCTCTACGGCTGACGCCGTCAACCCCGCGCTGTGGGACTCTGATGGATTACGTACCGGTACTGGCCCCGTCGCACCGGTACTTACTCGTTTCCCTGTGGCTGACCCACCGCAGCTACGTGAGTGTCCCTATGCATGACCGCGGGTGTGGGAGGGCACCCTTGTCCCTGACGTGCGGGCTGCCCCGCGGCGGGTGTACCGTATGGGGCAGGTGGGTAACCCACCCTCCGCTGCCCTTCACGGTCGCGCCCCGCTGCCTGTGTATCTCCCCGCTGCCAGTGTCCCGTGTGTGTGGCGGGGCCCTCCATCGACGGGATATCAGGCGTGCCTATGGCTGCAGTCGCGGGGGCAGGCGGGCACCCCGCCCATCGCTGTCCCCCACAGCTGCACCCGGGACAGAACGGCGCCCATCCGCCGGCCTCCTCAGGCGGACCACGGGGGCGTTCCGCCCACTCCAGGCCCGCCTGCTGGTAACCGGGTGGAAAGGGCCGCCCCGCCCGCTCGTTGGCCTGCGCCTGCCGCGCCGGACAGTTGCGGATCAGGTGGTCCGGGCTATTGCAATGGAAACAGCGTCGCCCCGGGCCCTGCCTGTTCGGGTTCGGTCGCCCTCGTTGGGGGTTCCTCGCCCCCGCCCCGTGCCCCGTTGTGTCGAGGCGCTGCAGGGCGCGCTGCAGGTCCCCTATGCCCCTCTCCAGCGCGTCTAGGCGATCTGTGCCCGGTGCGTCCCGGTCTCGGACTGCCAACGCCTCACCGCTCTCGTTGGGAGGGCGCATCGCTCGGAGTGCGTCCTGCTGTTGTTGGAATTTAGCGGCGACATCCATGGCCTCCATGAGGCTGGCCGGGTCCTTTGTCAGCACCCGCATCCGCAGCTGTTCGTCGCGGAGGCCGCACACGAAGCGGCTGACGATAGTCGCCTCCACGGACGGGTCACCGGCTGCCGCCCCCGGGTACGCCTCCCGGCTGGCCTGGCGCACCCTGTCCGCGAAGTCGCGAGTCGCCTCGCCGGGCTGCTGTCGGATGCTCGCCAGTTCAGCTTGTGCCTGCATTGCGTTCTTTGCCGTGCCAAAGCGGGCTTCCAATGCGGCTACTGTTTGTTGGAGATTTCCTTGGACATCCTCTGACAGCGAGGCGAAGTAATCCAGGGCGCCGCCCTGCAGAAGGCTGAGCAGGCCCTGCAGCCGTTTTTCTTCGGGAAACGCAGCCGTCTTTGCCCGGAATCGTCGGTACCATTGACCCCATGCCTGTCTGTTCTCCCCCGTGAAATTTTCAAAGTTAGTCAAAAGTAGGAATTCTCTCTCCATCTTACGTTGCTGTACCAAGGCCAATTAAAATGAATTAGATTGAAATTTACTTTAGGGATGATGCAAGCCAATGAATGCGCGTCCGCTTGTTTCCGAACAGTCCTACCGACCGCGCCAGTTGTTCGGAACACGCATTCACCGGCAAACACCTCGGTTCACTTAATCGATATATTTACAATGATCGTAAGAACACGTCAACTCGATCCGCAGTCACCCCCGATTGTCCTATCGGACCTCTAGTTAGCTTTCCCTCCTCGCCGCCGCTCCGGAGTTCCAACCGCCGAGCGCACCGCTCAGCGCAAGGCCCTATATACCAGGTAGGTTCATTAGGGAATTTTTTACGTTCCCCCTACCGGCCCCGGATGACGTCACTGGGGTGCTCCCGCCGCGGCCGGCCTATGTTTAGAGCATTACTACGAACTTTCCGGTGGCATTTTTTCGTGTTATAACGCCCAAAAAGCTATCGCGAGCACTTTTCGCACTAGAAATTGAAAATATGTCGCATTTTAAAGTGAGTAATAGTGATATAAGGTCACGTCCAGGAAAAGCGGGCCGAAACCAGCGAGGCTTGTATGGGTCCCAGGGCGAAGGGTTATGGAGTCGGGACCGGACTTTGATCGGAGTCGAACTGGAGCCGGAATCGGAGTCGGAGTCGTTTTTGGAAGCCGGAGCCGGAGTTAGAGTCGAAGTCACCAAAAATTCATCGGTTCCGCAGACTGCGGAGGTGCAGGGCTGCCCGGAGTCTGAGTCGGAATCGGTCAGAATAGACAGTTCTGCCCGGAGTAGGAGTCGCAGGGCTGCGGAGTCGATGGATTTTCGGTGACTCCGACTCCGACTCCGGCTTTCAAAAACCAGCTGCGACTGCGACTCCGACTCCGGGCAGAATTGTCGACTCCGACCGACTCCAACTCCCGACTCCGACTCCGCAGACCTAGCAGGGCTGCGGAGTCGACAGATTTTCGGTGACTCCGACTCCGACTCCGGCTCGGGTTTCTAAAATCGACTCCGACTCCGACTCCGGTCACAACTGTCGACTCCGACCGACTCCGACTCCGACTCCGCAGCCCTGAGGAGTCGGAATTAGTTTTTGGAACTAGAAGTCAGGAGTCAGTAGTCACCGAAATTACATCGGCTCCGCTGCCCTGCTAGGGCGCTCAGGACGGATGCACTTAAGTTGCATTGCTGAGAAAAATCGAATAAACATTTTCACTAAATATTATAAGTTTCACTTACGGGTGGCCGTTACTCACAGCTGGTGGTACAATATCGAGACGCACAGCCATTAACCAATGCCGAGTCGCACAGTGAGTCGCACAGCCGTTACACACAGCCGGAGGCACCATGCCGAGTCACACAGCACCAACAGATCTGGCCGTGCCACACCGAGTCGCACAGCCGTTACACACAGCCGGAGGCACCACGCCGAGTTGCACAGCACCAACAGATCTGGCCGTGCCACACCGAGTCGCACAGCCGTTACACACAGCCGGAGGCACCACGCCGAGTTGCACAGCACCAACAGATCTGGCCGTACCACACCGAGTCGCACAGCCGTTACACACAGCCGGAGGCACCAATTGCCGAGTCGCGCAGCACCCACACAAAGCCGGCCGTACCACACCGAGTCGCACAGCCGGTACACACAGCCGGAGGCACCATGCCGAGTCGCACAGCACCAACACAGAGCCGGCCGCACCACACCGAGTCACACAGCACCACGCCGACTCGTAGTCGCTACACGAGCCGGTTTACCAGCTCACCTAGAGCTCCTTGCATGATGGCCAACTTTTCTATCGGCTCTTTTCAGCTGCCGGACCTCGTCCAGTCAGGCTAAGGGACCGAAGGGGGAGGTGGAGACGGGTGCTCGCCAACTTCCTGGACACGCGGGTGCCGAGCTGAGGCTGCTTGACGGCGATGAACAGCTTGAGACGCTATATGACTCGCGGCCCCTGATCTGCAGTTGCCCCCATCAGCAGGCAGAAGTTCCGCTCGAACTCCTCCACAGCGGCCATCCAGGCTTGTGACAGAACAAACAGCTGGCCTCGGCTGATCGTCACAATTCAGCTGTTCGGCAGGGTGTTCAGTGTCTCCAGCGGCGCCCGAGAAGTCAGGAGACCGGCTACCGAGGGTGGCGTCGATGTGGTGACACTTGTATGCCACGAAGCCGGCAACAAATGCCAGCCCCTCGCGCTGAGCTTCCAGGTTGGAACTCGTCAGCTCGGCGCCGGCCATGGCTGCCAGCGTCGACACCGGCAGCGGCACTGTGAAAGCAGTATTACGCTACATCACTTGAAAGACATTGACAATTAAATATTGTGCAACAAAAGGAAAAACGTTAACACTTAAATGAGCCTAGTCTACGCACTGAAAGTGACAGATTTCGCGGACAACGAAAAATGCATGCCCTTTGGCTTTGCATTAATCCATTTTCCCGTTACTATTAAGCCTCGTTTGGCGACTGCCCCACGAATTCGCTCGTGATTAGCATGACACTTTTTCAGAAGGAAAAAAACACTGCGTATAAAATTGTTCAAACATCAACCAAGACTGAAACAACTCAGTTTTTTCTAAGCACTAGTTAGGACCAGCATAGGTCATTATCAGAACATTTAGTGGATGTGACTTGAGACATCACCTTATTGGATTGAGTGGCGGCCTTATGCCGACAAAAAGTTACCATTACTCATGGCAAAAAGAATGTTTTGATGCATTTTACCAATGGGAATTAAAATGGTGTCGCTCAAGACGGGCCAGGATTTTTAACACTGATGGATATTTGTGAGCACTTTTAATGTGAGTGAAAAAATAAACCATTAGACTTACTTGTCAGAGGTCCCTGCTGGCTGGTCTAGAGGTTGCTCGCAGGTTGCCCCCAGAATCTCCTTGACCTCCTTTGCAGTGGTCCTCCTCAGGGACCTGCTCGCCCTCGCCTCAGCTTTCCTGTAAACAGAAAACTCTCAGCACAAACAAATTTGGCTAACATCATGCTGACAGTACAAGCAACTAATAAATAAATTTGAATAAGATTAAGCAGTAAGCACCTACCCATAAAATAACTTTAGTGACCAATTTGAAAATAAACAATAATACCATGCAAAAACATTTGTTTTCATTTTTACAGCTCTGATAACATTGCAACGAGACTGAGATGAACCCAGCCCGCAGTATGTGACCATACTACATATATACAATTTAAATTTTAATGATAAAAAGTAAAGAGCTCATTTATATTTCAATTTGCCATTGTAGCACTAGTTTGTTTACATTGCGTGCTTTCTCTAGACATTTTATTTGTTGAGTGTATCATGTTAGGCCAAGGTACTTATGCGCACTGCAAGCACTGCAAAATTATTACCTACCAGCTTAATTGCAAAAATGGAGACTTTAAAAAACGCCAGATTATGTTAAGATCCGTTGCAAAATGAATACCTTGGTTGAGGTTCCTCAGCATGTTCCCCCCTTGAAATACTTGGTTGTTCTTCATGATATATGAGACGAAACGTAATACAAAGTGTGGTTGCCACTTATGTTAAGCTTTTGCGACCTTCAAACACATGAAAATGTGTTTATATTATTAAACAAACATATTAAAACTTTGCATAGCAACCAAAGTAATAACACGCAACGGTCGGAAAACACTGCGCCGGTGCGCCAGAATTGACTACATTACTCGAATCTCAGCGACCAATCAGCTTTCGAGCATCCCAGTGACGTCACATTGGCAGCATTTGGTAGCAATTTCCTTGTACGTGTGTCCCTATGGCGATGAACCCCCCCCTGGCTCAGCGTCCCCCCGCCGCCGGCGGCGCGCCGCCTTATATAGGCCCACGATCCGGGCCGGAGCCCGGCAGCCAATCAGCGGCCGCCGCAGCCGCCGCGTCATCGCCGCGCGGCAGAGCTGCAGATTTTGCGGCCGGCGCCCGCCGCCGGCCGCCGGGCGGCCGTGCGTTGCTCCCCAACAATACAGCAAATAGTTTGATTTCCAACCTTTCGAATCAGTTGTCAAAGCATGCATATTTGTCTAGGGTGCACACAGACACCAAAACCTTAGATATTTGGCCGGTTCTTATATGCTTTATGGGCATGGGAAATGTGTCAACGAACTTTTGAGACACCCTGTAGTTAGGGAACTTCACATCACACCGGATCCCAGTCGATGCACAGCTCGTGACTCGCACGAGCACCATGCCACGCCGCACCACCACATCGCTTCGCACCGCCCTCCCACTTTGAGGGGGGCTTAGGCCGGTCCTGTAGGCCCTTCTTTACCTCCCTTCCGGATCTCTACTCTACTCTACAGGATTAGTGGTCGGCCGGTCTCCCAGCCTTTTACCCGTCTGCCACCCGGGCCACTGTCCTCTAAACTAAATGTACTAAACTATGCATCTTGGTTCAGGTGAATAACTCCGCCATTTTGGGGCACACGCGGTTGGTAGCGTACCCTTGTGGGCTTGGAGCTAAGCTCCTGAGCCGTGATGACTATACTATGTATAGTACCGAATGAATCCGTTACGCGGCGGCAGCGGCCATACGCAACCAAAGTGTGACGTCATGACTAGTGGCTGGGGCATAATCAGCTGACGGCCCTGTGTTAAAGCAATGGGACGAAATTTTATCGGTATTTTTAGAAAAAACTGGACCTAAGTAGTTAGATAGTTTGGGGGCCAGTTTCTAGGTAAACTGAGTATATTCTAAACAAATGTTTCGCGCCAGCCGAGGTGCCATACCTGATAATTTCACTCGAATAGTGCCGTCCGGTCCGTGTTTGACAGACGGCTGCATTGCAGCCACAATCTCAGTGAATTTCCGCCGAACGGTTCTCATCTTCTACGATGTTGATGTGGCGATTCAATCTGAGAAAAAAGACAAAATAGTATAAGTGTGTGGATGTTAGCCAGTTTTTCTTTGCATACCGACATCGTCATCTTGTATGTTAACATTGGTATCAAAAGAGGCGTACAAAATGCTAATTAAAGTACGAAGGCACTACAGTAAATGTAAGCGATTTGCAAACTTTTTCATTTTACAATATATAATTCGCCTTTTCCTTTCAGTCCGGATCCTGTGAACGTGTGGCAGGTTTGAAGTAACAGAGGCTAGGCGATGGTACTTAGAAAGAGAAATGCTGGTGTTGTCGAGCAGCTGTGAAACAGTTGACGGTGAGGGAGATGGCGTTTCGGATCGGATCGGATGGTTGGCGCATATCTAGGCCATAGACGGCTGCAGCCTCCTCAAGTTCCCGTCGCTTCCTCCTCTTGTGCCGCGTCGAGTATACGTGACCCGCCAGCAAGGGCTCCGCCACCGGGGGGGACGGGGGGGACACGTCCCCCCCAACCAAAATGTTGGGTGGGATATAGTATCTTTTGTCCCCCCCAAAAATCTGTCAAAATTTCCCCTTTAGTTATTTAAACTTATTGCAGATTTTGTCACTCTAGAAGAAAGGGAACGGCCACGGGGTAAGCCTATGAAGGAAAATGGCTAGCAGAGGATTACTTCATATGGAAGCGATTGCTTCCAAACTCCATTGCCGCCTTTTATTTCATTTATGACGCATCACTCACAAACTAATGAAAGTAATCATCATCATCGTCCTGTAGTTTCAAGGCGATAGCAATGGGTTTGTTTGTTGGCTGTTGCTGATGGTTTGACTAGTAACTATAGTAAGAATCCAAGGAGTCGTGTGTAACAAGGAACTCAAGGAAGACTGAGGCGGGAACGATGGATATCAGGTCCTACTTCGGGGGCCAAAAGCGACAGGTATACCTATTTTGCCATTGTTTTATCAATTGTTGAAACTGGCTCTATTATCAGCTCAAATTACTGTCGGCTAAATGGGCTATGTGGAATTAATGCCGGAAGGAAGTCAAAGCTGTGAATGTTAAAATCATTTAACATGTGTGGTATGAACTGGTTTCCTTGCCACTACCTGTTAACCTACACGTTTTTGCGGTGAAGGTATACCTACCTTCTATCTTAAAAAACCTATTTTATTACTTGATTTTTATAATCCTAAATATGTGCACGCTTCATGGACAAGAGAGTATTACCTTTCTAACCAACATGCATTACCTATAGCACTTTTGAAGAAAATTTATAGTAGGTACCTGTTTCTGTTTGCCTGCTTTTCTTTATTAAATAACTACCTTCCGTTTCCCAGTAGGCAGTAGTTCAAGATATGCTGACTCTTCTTGTGCTTCAGCATGGTGGATGTTATTCCTCTAAGTCTCCAACTTTTATTAAATAAATTTAAAAATAAAAAATGAATGACCCATGCTTGCAAGCCCCAAAGGCCAAAGTATGTACAGATGGAGTTTTACTTGTAGATACCTATCTGAGGATGAAAACCACAGAGCAGATAACCTTTGTTTACTGTGATCAAAAATGGTCTGATAAAGTTGGCATTTTAAGACAAATTAAGACAAAGTTCAGAATGCAGTACCTATTGTTTGTTCAAATAGCACTTAAAGTGAGTTATGATCCTAGCAAATTTATAAACACGATGTTAGAAAATACTTCCAGGGACTGAAGAGAGAGCACAGAAAGCATGTCTTCTGTATGTAGCAGAGGTGGGGATCTCGGGGGGGGGGGGGGTCAGGACCCCCTGAAAACGAATTACTGCTATGTAAGTCAATGGTACTGCATCCAGCCCCAGCCCGCCTTCATCTGCCCGGTCTGGACCCCCCCCCTGACATTTTGACAGATCTCCACCCCTGGTATGTAGTGAGCATGACATAATTGGCTTTGCTTCCATGCTGCTCTAGGAAAAATGTCATATACAAAACCTGATTAGTATAGTGTATCATCATACGAACATGTCTATAAAAATTAATGTCCCTTTTCCCTCCTGAAGCATTGAAGTAGTCCTGACAGCTAGTGTCTTTCATTAACAATTATGCATGTCTTCAGAGGGTGTCCGTACAAGATCCTGTTCCTGATCATCCTCAAGAAAATGTGGCTGGCACTTCAACTGATCCCTGCCCGACCGTCCGTTGCCCTGATGGCAGCAAAGGCGAGGAATGCATTTGTATTGGTTCAACAAAATTTACATCTTATGGTTCCTTATGCTTGATGCTATTTGATCTGTGTATAAATTAGGTACGTGAAAGCTTGTTCCTTTGAAATAGGGACTGGCAGAGCTAGCACCTTTTGATATCCTGAACCGATTCGCATAGAGAAGGGAATCCCATTTACTTTTTTGTTGATTAACCCTTCCCAGCCAGGGGCTGCCATCACCGACTTTTTTGCAATTGACCATATTACAACAAAAAGTAAGAAATGTGATGCTGCTGACATTTTAATGTTGTGTTTGGTTGAACCTTAAGCCTTTTTTGTGACCACTTTCACCAAAGGTATTAGAAAAAAATGATCTTCAGGTTGTTGACCTGACACAAGGGGTTAGCAGTTAGCAGGGGGATATACCAATCAGGTGTATTTTAAGCTGTTTGCTGTTCAGGCCAACTTACTCATATCCTTCTAACATATGAGAAGCGAAAGGGCAAAGTGTGCGGGGGGGGGGGGGCGGTGCCCAATAGCTATTCGGCCGGGTTGTTGTTATTAAAGGGGATAAGGGTGTCAAGCGTTGGAGCTATTACATATTTCTTTTCGCAACTTTAACCGTAACTTGTTCATCTTCTTTGAAAAACACCGATTTGGCCAGACCCAATTTAGGTGTTTGGTTCTCGCACTCAGCGAGGATGTTCACTATTTACTGACCATGTCCTTCCAGGCGGTGGAGGGGGGGGGGGCATTTTTTGCCCCCCTTTAGTTTTTTCAATATATCTCCAGAACCGCTGCGCCGATCGTCACCAAACTTTCAGTACCCTCCCGGGAGTAGCTAGCGCACATGGTGACCAATTTTTTTCCAAAGGCTATGATAGGTTAGCCGCAAATGACGTCAGAGT